AGCTTTATCTGCACAGCCTTATCTCTGAGCACAGCAGACAAATGGTCCCAACCACCACTGCGCTGGATTGTCCAGAAGGGCTATCCAAGCAGAGCACAGGGGCGCTGCTCTTCCCGGAGCCTCTCCCAGGGCAGAAAGTCTACACTTGGCCTGGGGAAAGGGGACAGGCTGAGCCAGCAGGGAAAGAAGCTCCAGGGGATCTCAGGGCAGTGAACCGATAAAAAAGGCACAGCTCTCTCCTTCCTCTTGAACTCCTGACTGCCCCCAAGGCATAAGCCCTCACCAGAGGGAAGAGAACAGCCTCTGTTCCGCAGCTGTCCCGCCTCCACCCTAGACCAGCCAAGCAACGCTGGGGGATTCATTCAAGCTGTGGAGCCCACAGATCCTAAAATAAACGCACGCTACAGTGGTCTGCCTTTAATGTAAGTCCTGTGCTGCCATACATGGGGTTTGCTATTGACACCAAGACCAACACGCCTTTTATCATTGCTTTAATGCCGAGGAATCCTAAATTGCTCCGTAATTAGGCTTAATGATCAAGTAATTCTAGGCCACGGTTATCCTTTAATGTTTAGCTTAGAGGCATTTTTTCTGGCTGCATCTCTACGGGAATTGCTTTTGTGTTTTTGCAGTTCTACTTCAAAATCTTTGCAAATGGGCCAAATGTTTTCCAGCTATGAAACTACAAGGCCAATTTGTGTCATGTCACCCTTGTTCCCTCCCTGCACCAGTATTAATAAGGCTCAGGGTGACACGGCTCTCACAGTAGACAGATTCTGATGGCGGCAATGAGAGCAGCTTCAAGGCTCAACACCGGCTCAGAGAACTCCTCCTTCCCACTGTCTCGGCCATCGCTCTGCTTCCTACGTGGGCCTCTCAGCCATTCAACTCCCTGACTGCAATATAGACTCACTACCTCACTAGCAGCAGCAGGGGGGGGTTGGGGGCTGGGGAGTCTGCGGATGTCCAGATGGAAAGGCCTTGAAGAAAGCAACGCTATCCCAGGTGAAGTTGACAGAACTTGTTTTCTGAGCCCCTTTACCTCTCGTGGTGTCCCCGGTGTCCCCAGTGTTCTGTACTGAGCTTCACTCTCCCCAGCAGAACCCACCCAGACTTGATCCCAAGGACAAACATCTCCATTCAAGTCCTTTCCTTTCCCTAACATTCTCTCATCTGAATTTGAATTTACCTGTCCTTTGTCCTAGAACCATAATGTCTTACAGGAGCCCTGGTAGACCAGCCTTTTAAAATTAGCCGTGCAGAAGTATGCACACGTAGGTGTGCCAAAGAATGATGAAATGCAAAGATGAAGCTGAATTTTTTGCTTCCTGGGGCAAAGGAAATCTGTGCTGGTCATGACTGCTGCCCTTACGTAGTGTTTTTGTCAGTGGTGTGCTGGTAAACCAGCACTCTGAGAAGAGGGAAAAAAGAGCCCTGGTTTATAGCACTTGCCAATTTCCATAGAGTAAACACTCCCGTGATGGCCCGATCTCAAGCTATTGGCAATTGAACAAATGGCCCACAAATTTCCTGAACATTTATCCGTTGGCTCTCGCTAGCCCCATAGGCTAGCTCTTGCACACCACTTGGTTGGGAAGCACGGAGTTCAGGCATTGGTGGACTTCCAGGCGTGTAAGAGGGTTGATATCATCTGCAGGAACAGCGTTACTTGGGTGAGACTGTTGTTGACTGGTTGGCCCTCAGAGGGGCTGGTCCTGGAGTGAATCCATCTCTGATTGGCTGACCTTTTAAGCTTTTACTGAGATGTGTTGTCATTGATCCAATGAACAGGTTCGAAACAGCTGCCTGTGGGTATATAAAAATCTGTCCTTGCCCAAGTCCGAGGGAACATTTTTATTCTCAGGTGCTGCCCACACCAGATAAAAATGTTAACAAAGGCTTTTTTAGTGGTCACTGGGACAATCAAAATTTCAGTTAGAATATTAGCTTCTGGATGGCTAGTGAAGCTGAGTGAAGAAAATCCCCACTAACATTAAAATGGACACATCTTAATAAGATGCGTTTCCTGTATATTTTTCTCCTGTTTCCAGTTCCATGAGCTTTCATGAATCTGGGCCTGACTAGAGAATTTTTGTTCAGTATTTCCCATTCATTTTAAGGAAACGATCTGAGGTTTCCACTTTGAGATTAAATACCAGTCATTTCTCCTCCTCAGACCTCTGCTACAGATAAACAGGGAACTGAAATGCGTTAACAGGATGCCATGTGTGACTGGTCCCCAGAGGAAGTCTGTGTCTGACTTCTAATCCGCATGTCTTCTCTGTACCCCCGACCCTTCCCCACACCCCGTCCCCCCAAACAGGCTGATTCCTTGATCTATGAATGTCGAATAGGAATTCTTTGTGAATCAGAGCCGGCGGAAGCTAGATTGGTACCCATATATTCTTTAACTCACACTAGAATGGCCCACAATACTTATTTTACTGTTTTGTCCCTGATTGTTAATTTTCAAAATGGTTTGAATCTGGTATCTATTTGCTGTTATCAAAACCATCTCATGTTTCCTTGGTAATGGAATCCCTTCTCTTCTCCAATTATACATCCTCTCTTAGACTGTGTTCACCCACCCAATGGTTAAGAGCAGGGACTTGGGTGGCAGAGGAGGCTGAGTTTAAACATTAGTCCTTACCTACCACCTGTGTGACTGTGTGACCTCAGTAAGTATCACTTATGTAAACAACAAAAATCCCAACAAGAGACTGTGAACTCTGCACTCTGGGGAGATTTGCTCACGGCTGCCGAGCGGCCACTATGTGTTCAATTCATTTCTCTGTGTGAGGAAGAGAGAGTGGAGAGGCAGAGGATTGAAAGTGAATCATTAGGTGGAGAAGCAGAAGGGGGCCATACAGCTTTGTTCTCTGTTCCCAACCTTCAGGCTCAGCCCCAGGTCCCCGGTTCCCCACCAGCCTTATCACCCCCTCTGTATCCCTCAAACTCTTGGGTCTTCAAATCCAGCGGCCTTTGCTCCATACACACTACCTCTGATCTCTCAGGGAATGTTTAACCCTGCTGGCCATCTCCTGCCCCCTCTGTTCTGGGTCATCCTTTTGGAAAAGCAGCCTAGCGAATTGCCTGAACTCTGGAGCCAGCCTGCCTGGGTCCTGACTCTACCACTAATTGCTTGGGCCGGTGACTTAGCCGATTTGAGCCTCAGTTTCCTTACCTGTAATATGGACATGATAATAGTGCCTGCCTCACTGTATTGTTATGAAGACTAAACGATTCACCGTATGTAAAAGTGACATTGGACACCGGAAGCACTATGTGAGGGCTTGTTATTACTACCCTGGCCCTCCTTTCCCACGCCTTGTTTTCTGAGTCCATTCCTTCCAGCAGTTCCTCTTATCTGAAGGTGCCCCCCGCCAAGTTCTAACCTCAGCCTTCTCTCTAGCAATACCCCCCAGTGAATTCATTAGTTTTCCAAGTTCCAAGCATCACCCCTATGCTGGTGACTCTCCAGTCAGTGTCTATGGCCTGGATCCCTCACCTAGAAACCTCCCTGCCTTTCTGCTTCAATGGGTCACTATCCTCTCAAATCCAACACGTCCTGCACTACATTCAACAGCTCCCCCTTTAAACCGGATCCCCTTCCCGCACCCATTGATGACAGTTGTTATTCTGATTCCTCCAGTCTCCAAATCGTGCCCACTTCTCCCTCTGTTCATGTCTAATTTATTACTAGACCCTGTTCTTCCTTGACCGTTCCTCTAGTTCACCCCTTCCTCTGCATCGCACTGGCGCCACCGCCCAGCCCATCATTACTGGAACAGATCCTTACTCAGCTTCACAGTGGGTCTCGTGCTCATTCAACGGAAGTGCTTCTCAACTGGCATAATTGGCATTCGGGGTTAGTGGGGGAGAGTAAGAGGCTGCCCTGCCAGGAGGCTGCCTGAATTTGGATCCTCCTGGGCAGTACATTCAGCACTGCTGGCTCCCAGCACTGAGTGCCAACTCTATACCCCACCCCCTAATCCTGAGGTTAGGACAACTTAGAACACACACACACACACACACACACACACACACACACACTTCCAGGTGGCCTCTGTTGGAGGGAGGGAGGGTGGAGGCATTACTACCCCAGTTGAGAGTCACTGAGCCTCTTCCAAGTCGAATCCATCCCACAAAATCACCTCAGATAAACCTCAAACACAGATTACTCAAAGCTCCTCCAGAACGTCTCCCTTCCTGCCTGCCTCTTTCATCACCCCCTCTTTCTCAGGTCAGCCATGCCCCGGCCCGCCCTCAACACCCCACTTCATTTTCACCCCTCCCCTGGTCAGTACAGTCCTTCCATCTTCTTGACATCTTTCCCTGGGCTTCCGGACTCAGACGCATCCTGTTCCTCTTAGCCTCCTAACCTTTGTATTCATATCCTAGTAATGCCCCAGACCTGGTTCAGCCTTTTTCTAGCTGCCCCACCAAACCCCCAAGCCTTCTCAAAACACCTTACAATCAGTTCCACCCAGTTCGTCTCTGTTTTACTCTCTGTCGTTTGCCTGTTTATGGCCTTGTCTACTGAATTGGACACTCAGGTTGGAGGACAGCAGCCACTCTTATCTGTGACCCACAGGACTGGTGCAATGAAGGGTAGCGAGCCCCTACGTAGATGCCCCTTTTTTATTCCAAAGTTCTTGATCAAAACCTGACCACTTAACCCGCAGCCCCCCCCCAGCCTGTGATGTGCCCCTTCAGAAAGATTTTAGCAGCCTCAGAGGACTGGAGCCAGGGAAAATGTCGCCCCCTCAACAGCTTTTTACTGAGGACCCAGGAATAAAGGGAGCTTGGTGCCAGGGGTGACAAGCTGACCGCCAGAGAGAAACGATGTCTGTGTCACACACTGATTTGTTTACACGGCAGAGGCTGATGATGAAACTGACCTGCCTATGTTTCTTCCTCTCCATAAGCCCCACCATCCACCTGCCCTCATCATAAAAATACAGAAGTTGGAAACCAAGCAACATGGCCAGTGTCTTTACCTTCTTCCAGCTGGTGGACGTCAGTGCTGTCTTTCAAGTCTTCATCCACCCAGGGGCGAGCCTCGGCCCTGGCTCTAGGCTCCCCCTTCCTTCTCTGGGTTCCTCCATCAACATTTTGAAAGATCCACACCATCAAAAGGCAGACAACTGCTACCAAGACTGAAGTCAGAAGAAACATGGCGCTGAGGCTGATTCTGAATGGGGCCAATACTTCCGAGGCCGGTATTTAAACAAACAGGGACAGGAGTGGGGAATGCTGGGAGATGGAGTGAAGGAAGGAGGGGGGGCCGGGGGAAGGAACAGAGTGAACTCGCTGACTCTGCAAGGACTTTGCAAAGGAGAAAAGATCACAGCCGTGTGTCCCGGGTGTGTTGTGGCTCTGGGAATGCACTGGTGCGTGAACTTTTTTAAACTGTGCGCTCCATCAATATATTCTTAGACAGTAATTGCCAGGATTTGAGGAAACACTTTAATGCACTAGATCTTACCAGCAGTGGTGGAAAGTGTTTACTCCTCCTCCTGTGGATTCTCTCTGAGAGCAGTGTGTCTTCAGCTGGCCCGAAGCTAGGAATCACCTGGAGTTGGCCCCTTCTCAACCAATCTCCATGCCCCTTTTGAGCGATTACCAAATCTCCCGGGATCTTGTCCCGGGATTTTGGAGACAGGGAAGGATTGCCTATCTCAGGCCTCTCACTCACATTTTGCCTTATATGTATCTACATTATTTGAATTTTTTTCAACCAGCATGAACTATTGTTTTCTACTTTTTTATTGTGATAAAGTATAATAATATCAATATAAAATTTACCATCTTAGCCCTTTTTAAGGGTCCAGTTCAATGGCACTAAGTACATTCACAATGTTGTACACCCATCACCACTCTTCCCCAAACTGCTTCATCATCCCAAACAGAAACCCTCTAATCATTACGCAGTAACTACCCCCTTCCTCTTCCCACAGGCCCTGGTAACCTCTAACCCACTTCCTGTCGCTATGATTCTGACTATTCTAGGAACCCTAAGTGCAATCATAGACTATTTGTCTTTCTGTGAGCGGCTTGTTTCACTTAGCAGAAGGTCTTCAAGGTTCTTCTAGGTTTTAACAGGTATCAGAACTTCATTTTCATGGCTTAGCAGGGGCTATTTATTTTTCTGATTAAAAATAGATGCTAAATAAATACCTTGTGATATTTTTTAAAGATCGTTACAATGCAGCACCATGAGTGCTACGACAGATGAGCACTCTGGGTCCCTCATTCTGTCTGAGGCAGGACAAGACCCCACAGAGGACAGAAAGCTTTTACTGTCTTGACAAACCAGTGTGACCTGGGACAGTGCTACTCAAGCAGCTTGTGCCAAAACCTAATCAATGCATTCTTCCTTCCCTTGACACTCTCCCCAAATAAATACATAAACACAAATGAAAAGCCAGCTGGCCTAGGCAGCATGTAGTGTAGTGACATGGTCGCTTTGCCTGCATTTCCATCCTAGTGTGTGCTCTGTGCCTCATTGTGACTGGTTAACAAGAGTGGATGGACCGCCAGTCTGCAGACCACGTGGTAAATAACATTAGTAAATAACATTAGTTATTTACCACGTGGTAAATAACATTAGTAAACACATTTTCCCAAGACACACACATGACTTTTAACTTCCATTGCTGATGGTGAATCTGATTATCCCTGTCCCTGTGTCCTTCTTGCTTCCATAACATCCCACAAGTGTATTTGCAGGGGAAGTCAAATGAGGTGAAAGAGAACTTTCCAGGAAAGAGACTTCCTGGGGTGTTGAGGGAGGGAACACAGTTTCTAACGATTCACACGAGCAACCTTCATCAAGCATTTCTCTCAAGTGCTCATTTAGCAAGTGTTATATCAAGTATTCAAGCTAAAGGCTTGAAATAGGATGTGCCTATGTCTGCAGCAAAATCTTATCTCAGTGCAAGTGTGAAGTTGGGGGAAAATTTCCAAAATATTTTTAAACCTAATTGGCCTCACCTATACACAATTCATACTCACTAATAACATCAACGCCATCAAAGGCTATTTATTTTATATAGATCTAATGCCCAGAGGGCTGTGTGATGCAGAAGTTTATGTTACTATGTGTAAGCACTGTGTTGATTCCTTATCTACTTTATCCCATTTAATCCACAGGATGAGGCACTTTAAAAGAAACTCCACCGCTCTAGCAATTCCACTACTGGGTATACATACAAAAGAATTGAAAGCAGGGTCTCAAAGAGATATTCGCACACTTATGTTCATAGCACCGTTTTTCACCATAGCGAAGAGATGGGAGCAACCCAAGTGTCCATGGACAGATGAATGAATAAACAAAATACAGTATATAGAGACACTGGAATATTATTCAGCCTTAAAAAAAAAAGAGGGAAATTCTGACACATGATGCAGCATAGATGAATTTTTAAGACATCTGCTAAGTGAAAAAAGCCAGTCACAAAGAGATAAAACTTGTACAATCCACATATATGAGGTATCTAGTGCAGTCAAATTCATAAAGACAGAAAGTAAAACGGTTGTTGACTGTGGCTGGGAGGGGGGGAAAAGGAGAGTTATCGTCTAATGGGTGCAGACTTTCAGTTTTGCAAGATGAAAAGAGTTCTGGAGATGGATGGTGGTGATGGATGGCGGTGACGGTGGCACAACAGTGGGAATGTACTTAGCACTACTGAACCCACTTAAAAATAGCAAAGACGGTAAATTTTATATTGTGTATATTTTACCCCAAAATATGTTTTAATTAAAAAAACCTCCACTGCCCTGAAGAAAATGAACAGCTTATACACTGTAGCTAAGGCACGGTGAGTGAGTTAGAACAAGGTCCTCAAAGTGTGGTCCTGGATGCCCACCATCAGCGTCCCCGGGTGATTTGTTAGAAATACAGATTCTCGGGCCCTACCCCTGACCCACTGAATCAGAAACTCTGGGGGTGGGCCCAGCACTCTGTGTTTCAAGAAACCCTCCAGGTGACTCTGACATTTGCCGAAGTCTGAGAACCACTGGCCTCAAGAAAGGCTCTCTCCTCACACTCCCTACTTTACCCCAAATTTAGATTCTCTACGCTCAAGTCCTCCCCATCCAAAAGAGCAAAGTATTGTAAACATCAAATGTTTATTGAAACATTTTCCTACGTGGTGCCTCAATAAAGCACAGAATGCTGCATATAATAAACTCCCAATAAATATAAATTCAAAGTTTTAAGAATGGAGGTGATGTTTTAAAAATTATATTAAGGACGATTAATCTGGTCACAAACTCAGGTGTCAATAAAGGCTGTGACCAGGAAGCCCAGTCAAAGAAGATATGGTACATATATAGAATGGAATATTACTCAGCCATAAAAAGAATGAAATAATGCCATTTGCAGCAACATGGATGGACCTAGAGATTATCATACTAAGTGAAATAAGTCAGACAGAAAAAGACAAATACCATATGATATCACTTAAATGTGGAATCTAGAAAAAGGATACAAATGAACTTATTTATAAAACAAAAACAGACTCACAGACATAGAAAACCAACTTATGGTTAACAAAGGGGAAAGATAGTGCGGGATAAATTAGAAATTTGGGAGTAACATACACACACTACTATACATAAAATAGATAACCAACAAGGACCTACTATATAGCACAGGGAACTGTACTCAATATTTTCAATAACCTACATGGAAAAAGAATCTGAAAAAGAAATATATAGATGTGTGTATATGTGATATATATGAATCATTTTGCTGTACACCTGAAACTAATACAATATTGTAAATCAACTCTACTTCAATTTAAAAAAAAAGAAGAAGAAGAACCATTGCAGCCGTTCAGATGAGAGTTAACTGAGGGCTCATCAGGGGAGAACACTGTGGGACTGGGAAGAGGAAATGGTGGCATAAAGGTTGGAGGTGGTGGAAGTGACAAGGTCCAGGCATGGGGGGTTCTAGAGCGGAAATCAAAAATTACATCCCTCCTTCTCCAAGCATATTCCAATCTGTATTTTGTTTCACTCTTTACTTTCTCTGGGGAAAAGAGTTTGGGATTTCACAGGGTTTGTGTTATTTAACCCAATGAGCATTTAAGTGGAGAGACTGGAGGGAGAGACTCTTCTAGAAAGAGCTCTTAGGAAAAAAGCTGAAAAGAAAATACGGGTCTCACAAAGCTGGGGATTGTTCCGCAGCGTGATTCATCAAGTGAAACTGTCTCTGCCCCTATCAAAACATGACTTCTGTGACTGGGGGATTTCCTGAGTGTTCCTTTTCCTCACCCAAGCAATATCCAAACAGCACTGCTCAGTCATGGATTGGGGCCCACAGAAGAAAAATTACAGGAATTCTCCAACCACTGTATCATATTATCTTCGGAAAACAATGCCTTTTTATGAATGAGCTTAGCCACAAACAAAATCGCATCCATTCTAGACAAGAAGACAAAAAACTGTGGTGATATTAGTCAGAAACATTTTTAATAGAAAAATGCCATGTTCCAGAGCAACGTTATTTAGCATTTATCAGTACTGTATTTGCTTCCTATAAGATTCATTATTGCTTTTCCACACCTTAAAAAAATTATCATCTGAACCAGTGGTGGTTTCTCAATATTATTTCTCCTCTAAGAATAAATTGCAAGGTAGAATTTTGACAAAACAAGGTGGCTCTTAAGAAAGGCATTTAAGGGGATGCCTGGTGTGTTCATTTTCAAGGTCTGCTGTAACAAAGTCCCACAAACTGGGTGGCTTAAAACAACAAAACTGTATTGTCTCACAGTTCTGGACACCAGAAGTCTGAAAGCAAGGTGTCAGCAGGGCCGGGCTCCCGCTGAAGGCTCTAAGGAAGAATCTGTTCCAGGCCTTTCTCTTCACTCCTGGTAGAGGCCAACACACGGCATTCTCTCTGTGTGTCTTCACCTCCTCCTCCCCCGAGGGTCTCTGTCTGTGTGTTTCTCCTCTTCTTAAAAGGACACCAATCATTTTAGATGTGGGCCTACCCTAATGGCCCGAAATTTCTGTATTTCCAAATAAAGTCACATTTGCACGTTCCAGGTGGACGTGAACATATCTCTTCGGGGACCCAGTTCAACCCATAACACCTGATAAAATGGAAGTGAAGATACTTTCGCCTGTTTCCTGTGAGTATCACCAGTTAACTGTGAAATATGAATCAAATCATATTGAGTGA